TTTATTAACTTATGATACAACATCATGTGTTATTCAGAATGGACATCTCTCTGATTTCTTCCCTAATGAGCGAGGTTGCAGGCAAGGTGACCCAATATCGCCATATTTGTTTCTTTTTGTAGCTGAAATCCTTGGATGTATGATAAGACAAAATGATGATATAAAGGGTATTGTAATTGATGTTCAGGAATATAAATTAGGACAATATGCTGATGATACTGAATTATTTTTGGATGGTTCAGATGAAAGTTTGTATGCTGCTATTGATATCATTAATACTTTTTACAATATGTCAGGGTTAAGAATAAATATCGATAAGACTAAAGCAATCTGGATAGGCTCAAATGCAGGTAGGAGAGACATGATTTGTGAGGATTTGAATATAGAATGGCAAAGAAAGGAATTTGAAGTTTTGGGTATTAAATTCACACCTGATTTGAATGACTTATGGGTAATCAACACAAAAAAAGACTTGAAGAAATTAATAGATTATTGGCAACATGGAGAAAAAGACATCTCACACTGATTGGCAAAATCACTGTAATTAAAACATTGGCTCTTTCAAAACTGGTTCACATTTTCAATTCTTTACCTAATCCACCTGATGAATTTATCACTTCCCTTGAGAGACTATTTTTCAGATTCATTTGGAACGACAAAAATGATAAAATTAAACGGAACACTTTGAAAAAGGATTATACAGAAGGGGGTTTACGCATGATAGATATCAAAACCTTTGTTAATGCCATGAAATTATCCACACTCAGACTCTATTTGAGAAAAACAAATATGAGTAATCCATGCAAGTTTCCATTAAATGATATACTAAAATATGGAGCAAATTTTCAGAATATTGTTGAAATCGATAATCCTTTTTGGAAAGATGTTTTATTGGCATGGAAATTATACTGTAATAAGAATACCATAGAAGCTGACAACATTAAAGGAATTTTAGCACAACCTTTATGGCTGAATAATAATTTCAAAAACCCAAATCACTTTATCAGGCACTGGGCTAAAAATGGAATTTTAACAATTAAGGACCTTTGTAATGAAGATGGTTTTATGTCTCTTGAAGAGCTGAAGTCAAATTTGATGTTAGAGGTACATATATGGATCTTCGATATGTTTTCTATATCATACCTGAATCATGGAAATTTACCATAAAACAATACAGTAATATACATTACAATGATCTGGATGATAACTTTCTTTATAAAGATTTTATGGATTTGAAAAAAGGTTCAAGATTATTTTATGATAAACTCTTATCTGACAATATTAAACCTCATATTTGCCTAAAATGGGAAAACTTATTTTACGACATTGATTTTGATTGGCGTATGATTTTTAATATTTGCAGAAGGAATGTGAAAGATGTAAAACTTTTAGACTTTCAATTTAAATTTTTGCACAGAATTATTTATACAAAAAGAACTTATGAAAATGAAACTGGTTGACAATGTACTATGTAGCCTTTGTAATGTTGATAGTGAAACTTTATGTCATGTATATTGGGAATGTGTTGTAACCCAAACCTTCTGGAAAGAACTTGAAAACTGGATAATCCAAAATATACAGAAATTTGAAATAACAAAGACCTTGGTTTGGTTTGGAATTTTGGGTAATAAGCCATTACTGAATCATATAATCCTATCTGCTAAAAAAGTATATATATACTTGCACTTTGAAGAAAATAATTCCAAAAGTTAATATTTTTTTAAAAATATTGAAAGACATCTATACGGTTGAAAATTTCATATCCAGAAGGAACAATAAATCTGATCAATTTTCAGACAAATGGTCCCCTTTATTCTCAATATTTAATTTCTGACATAATCTTTTATGAAAGGGGAATTATTGTTTCTGGAGTATATTCTCTCTATGCTATCAGTTGAACTAACATTTGTGTTGAACCCAATGAACTTTGATCATGTATTTATACATCTATTGCTTTACTCTATATGCGTGTACTCAATTATGGGAACAAATAAAAAGATTTAAAAAAAAAAAAAAAAAAAAAACTTAATTAATAAGGTCCTTTACTGTTTTGATATTGAAATATTTATCCCTTATGATGGAGAATTCAACACAGTCAAGCAAGACATGCTTGACCGTGGTTCTCTCATCACAAGGGATACAAAACGGAGGATCCTCACCTTTTAATAGGTATGCATGAGTATATCTTTTGTGGCCAATAGGACATCGTTGCATGATGACCTCCTAAAATCTGGACTGACAACCCAAGAGCTCTTAATATGGCGTTAGCTTCTGCTGTGAAAATAGAGCTGTTATTTGGTAGTCTGGATTGTTCTGGATCCAATGACAGTGGCACAAGCAACTGCACCACCATCCTTTGACTCACCTGTAAATAAGGACTTGTATGTATTATATGTATTTTTTAATTGATTATATTCTTGTTTATACTGTAATTCATTAACTTCAGATTTCTTAAACTTAGTCAGAGTTACGTCAACTTTAGGCCTCACGAGTTGCCAAGGAGAGGCTTAATTCTGTGCCCAAGAGGCGGAACAAGACAAGACTTTATGTTGTATAAATCCTCATAAAGAGCATTGAAAACACAGTTAAATGCAGGATTAGACTCGTTAGAATAGAGTTTTGTTATATACTGTAATGATAATTTAATACGACGTTGGTTAAGGGATGGCTCATCAGCCTCAACATAGAGACTGTGTATGGGAGAGGTACTAAAGGACCTAAGACAAAGTGTCAGGCCTTGGTGGTGGACAGAATCAAGTAGTTTTAGGTTGCTTTTGCAGGCTCCACCACATACGATGGAGCCATAATCAAGTTTCGAGCGGACCAATGATCGATATAGGTTGAGGAGGGTAGCTTGATCCCCTTCCCACTTTGAGTTGGAAACAACTTTCAACAAATCAAGGGCCTTCAGGCATTTAGCTTTAAGGGATTTAATATGCGGCAAAATAGTTAAATGGGAATCAAAAATTAGACCCAAGAACTTTTCCTCCTTGACAACTTTTATGGGAGTGCCATTTAAAGATAGTTCTGGGTCTTTATGCGGCTTATATTGTCTACAAAAGTGTAGACAATTAGTTTTGGACTTGGAAAATTTAAAGCGGTTTTCAAGACACCATTTATTTATTTTATTTAAACACAACAGCAATTGCCGTTCAATAGTATGCATATTTTTACCACAAGAAATATTATAATAATCCACAAAAAGTGATCCATAGATGGAATCGTTTAAAAGCTTGGATAACCTGTTGATCTTGATACTAAATAAAGTGACAGTAAAGTATGGATCATTTAGAGAAGAGGAAGTTGATTTTAGAGTATTATAACAAGGACATCAGATCAGCTAAAGTGATTTCAAGTAGAACAGGCATCCATATGTCCACAGTTTATCGTGTTTTAAAAAATATGGAGCACCAGGGAGGCGCAGGTAGGCCCAGAAAATTGACTGTCGGTGACTAGAGGCGGCTTGGTATTCTTGTTTCTAAAAAGAAACGAAGGAGTTTAGAAAACTTAAGGCTGGATATGATTAATAGAGGAACTTTGGCTGTCTGTAAGGAGACAATTAAAACTGAGCTTCATGCAATGGGTTGGCAGAAAAGTCGAGGAATTCCATCACCGATCATGAAACCTGAACAAAAGGAGCGAAGGTTGAACTGGTACTTACAGCATAGACATTTTAACTGGGACAATGTGATATTCTCAGATGAAAGTCCTGTGTGGCTGTTTCCTAATACACTGAAATTCTGGACCAAACAAACTGAAAAACCTTTGTATCAGCGCCCAAAGTACAGTCCGAAATTTAACGTGCGGGGTGGCATATCTGTGTTAGGGGCAACGCCCGTCTGTGTATTTGAAGGGAATATGAACAGTGAGCGGTACACAGAGATTCTCGGGGGACATTTACTTCCATCTGCTCACGTGTTCTATGGAAAGCTTTGGAATTTCCAGCAGGACAACAACCCAAACATCGTTCAAAGCATGCACAGGTCTGGTTTCGGACCCATTATTAGATTGGCCAAGCTATAGCCCTGACCTAAATCCAATAGAAAATGGTTGAGGACTTATGAAGGAAAGTGTCAATAAGAAAAATCTGACAAATATTGCTGAAATGAAAGAAGAGGTGGTCCGATATTGGGACAGCATGGACCCCGCTGCATTGGAGCCTGCATTGCTGCCCATGGTGACTTGACAAAATACTAACTGTTAACCTGTCTTTGAATCTGGAGTTATGTGCTGCTAATATTCACATTTAATACGTGAGTAATGAGTGATGTTTTTTAAAAAGATTACAATCTTAATTTCTCAATAATTTCTGGTTGTACTGTACCTTCAGTAAACCCGTTATCTCTCAGCCATATGTCGGGTACTTCGCTCTCTCCCTTACTCGCTCGCCATGCTGCTCGCGGCTAGTGCTATGGGCAATATTACGATGGTATGTGTGTGTGTTGGGGGGTGGGGGTGAGTGAGTGTTGCTTTAAGCGGCATCAGTAATTTTTGCAGCTATTCACGGGGAACATCAGAAATGGGCTTTACACATTGCATCGGCATGGGGAATCTAACCCAGGTTTTGGGGTTTTCATCATCATAGAATATTTATATAGGGCACATATCCACGTAACTAGTACATGCTAGTACCAATCCAACTCACATGCAGTTATCATTATCGTTAACATCAAGATAATCGAAATCATAAACATCATTATCCCCACCATCATCACCATAAAAATCGACGTAGTTATGATGATGAATCCCGTCTAAATCATTATCATCTTCTCCTCAAGTTGTCTGGCACCACACAATCGCCCATGTAAGAGTCATTGCATGTGATGTGCATTTCCTTCTCAGCATTGACGTGTATATTCACGAGTAATGGCGTCATAGCCCAAGTGGGTAAAACCCAAGCGAATATTTCACGTTACGTGACATGCAGCTGTCGGGTGATAACAGGTCACGTAGCGGTAGGCTGTGTCGTAATATATATTATCACACCAACAGCAACGACAGGAGCAGATAAGTAGGTCGCTGTCACATACCGATATTGTACTGCTGAAAGTTTTACTTCGTGTTGAAATACTGATTTAAAGGTAGGTGTCAGCTTTGCTTGTGCCTGACTAGACTGTTTACATTTGGTTGTGAGCCTGTATTGTAACGCTGCATATCACAGCTTTGATTTCACCCCCGATGGTCCAAGTTATGTTCAATACTTCATACATGTCCTTCAGCCGGATCGAGAGAGGGCGTTACTGCAGACGTTGTACATGTCATCGTATTGCCATAGCGTAAACCGATGCTGACCCGCTCAGACTTCCATCTTTTTGAATGCCAAGATGGTTGAGTCGAGATCGCAGACTTTGTGTGTTGGCGATTAAGGCCTTTCTTTTACAGTGTGGGTTCGAATCCTGCATGGGACTCAACCCCTGGAAAAGTCCTAGAATCCGTAGTTTACTGAGAACGTGTATTCGCACATATACCACGTGGTTATTTGTTGTTCATATATAAAAAAACAAAATACAAAATACAAAAGCAAGTTGCATTACGGGTATTACTGTTAAGTTCAATAATATTTTGTCAATGTTTTCATACCATATAAATTTCGTATGTCAAAGAGACATTTTCATACATTTGTTTTTGCTTTTCAATCTGTCTGAAGTTTAGGGACACCCTAAATATCTACGTGCAGTATCGTAATGTTTAATACGTACCACGTTTTTTCCAGGATGACCCACGGTTTGGGCGGTGGGGGAAGAGGGTTAAGTGGAGGATTGGGAGGAGGAGGCGGTATATGGGGAATGCATCTCCATCACCACAGCTCAGAGGGACGCAGCGACTGCTGTGTGGACAGCATCTGCTGCATCATCAACATCGCCAGCATCCTCCTCTGCATCAGGAAGATGTCCCGCTACCTCCGCATCGCCCTCCTCTGGATCTATGTTGCCACTGCCGTCATCACCACTGGACTTCTCATCAGCATCAACGTCCTCGGCACCAACAAGTTCCAGGCTGCACCAACAGACATGCGCAAAGTACAGGACCAGGTCAACAACGCCTTCTGTCAGAGCCTCACTCTCAACTCCAGCGATCCTTTCGAAGCCTACACGTTTGACAGAGAACCGGTGGTGGATCCCAGCAAGATCGAGCAGTTCAATACATCATATTTCACTTCCATGACAGGAGATACAAACACATACTGGGGGTTCTATCTCCTGAAAGGTTCTAAAGCCGTCGTGGTTTCATCCGGGGACGAACTTATATCAGTATTCATCATAAAAGGAAGCTCCAATCTTCAGGCGTGGATTGACAACAAAGGAAGCTGTAATGGATGTTACCTTGCATCTCATGTCACCTCTCCAACCTTCACTTACACGCTGGACGTTTCACAGAGTGACGATTACTATTTCATGTATTACTCCACTTCAAACTACGTCATTGTCGTGAACGTCAATGTGTACATAACTCGGACACTCTATGACGTCAGTTCTGCCACATCCCACTGCTCCTACCGTCCTAGCGACAAGCCGTGTTCACTGGACATTTCCCTCAGCCCTCACATGAACGTGGTGTACCACAATGGAGGTAATGGCCTGCATGACAGAATCGACATGTGGTCTACGTGCAAAAGTCGAGTTTGGATGTATATGATTGTGTTTGCCCTCATCCCGGCGCTGATGACGGCACCCGTCACCTTCCTGTTCTGGAAGTACTGCAAGGATGACAGATCCCAGGAGAACCTGGCTGTGGACTCTGAGGACAATTTGCCTTACAACAAGTTTTAGTTGAGCCCAGAAATACAAGGAAGTCTTGACATGTTGCTATGTATGTTCTCATGCCTCAAATGTAATTTTACTGACGCTTTGAGCTAAACACACAACAGCTCCATCAACAAAATACCAAACGAAGCCGAGGAGCATCCGTTTAGTTCATATATCTGCATAATGTTGGTTGTTTAACGCCGCACTCAGCAATATTCATACTATATGACGGCGGTCTGTAAATAATCGAGTTTGGACTACACAATCTAGTGATCAACAACGTAAGCATCGATCTACGCAATTCGGATACGATGACATTTGCCGACCAAGTCAGAGAGCCTGACCATCCGATCCATTTAGTCGCCTAAAGCATGAGTTGCCGATCACCAATTCCAACACGAATGTCCACGAGTTTATAAGTATTAATAGATTAATGACAATGATATGGGAGAATCAGATGGTCTTCAGCTTCCTGTGACAGACGGACAGTCAGTTTATTCAGTGGAAGACGAAAGACAAACAATACCGGCATTTTTTAATTGAAAGACAAATAATATAATTTTCTCTTAACCGATGGACTAAATGAATGAAGTAATTTTAGTCACAGTTTAAGCATTAAATGACATTTATCTTCTATAAAACATCTCCAACTTCCTTTGAGTACACGCACACAATTTGACCACCTTTAAAAGTCTCTAAAATTTCGAAATGTGCAAACGTAGATTGGTGTATTAGGCTGGAAACCACTAAAGCACAGGTACACATTAAAGTATGTTCAGCACGATGTTTGCAAGCAGCCATCTAAAGGTGTGCTCTGCGGCACGTGTTGTCAGCCATATACATTTGTGTCCATGTGAATGTGTTTCCAGCGGCACGTGTTGTCAGCCATGTGAAGGTATATCCATCTGAAGGTGTACTCTGCGACACGTGTTGTCAACCATATGAAGGTGTGCCCATCTGAAGGTGTTCTCTGCGGCAAGTGTTGTCAGCCATGTGAAGGTGTGTCCATCTGAAGGTGTGCTCTGCGGCACGTGTTGTCAGCCATGTGAAGGTGTGGCCATCTGAAGGTGTGCTCTGCGGCACGTGTTGTCAGCCATGTGAAGGTGTGCCCATCTGAAGGTGTTCTCTGCGGCACGTGTTGTCAGCCATGTGAAGGTGTGCCCATCTGAAGGTGTGCTCAGTTAAATGGTGTAAAACTAGCCACATGAAGGTGTGCTCAGTCGAATGTGTGACACTTGAAAGTCTGCCATAAGAGTGAGTTTAGTTTTATGCCGCTCACCGTAAACGGGCCTGCGTCTCCTGCCCCTAACAGTAACACTAGTCACTCACTCACAATTTACATTAAAATGTAAGTGAATGTGTGGTTGAGTGTGTTTTACGCCGCTTTTCGCAATATTCCAACAATATCACGGCGGGGTACACCAGAAATGGGCTTCACACGTTGTACCCATGTGGGGAATCGAACGTGGGTCTTCGGTGTGACGGGTGATCGTTTTAACCACTAAGCCATCTCTTCCATATGAAGGTGTGTCCATCTGAATGTGTAACACAAGCCATATGATTGTGTGCCCATCTCGAGCTGCGACGCTCGCTAAGGTCCTGATCACCCAAAACAGTGAGGCTTGCACCTGATGCCAAGATCATAGCTGCAGATTCCTGGCAAACTCTGCAAGATAACCACAGTGCGAGCAAGTGCGTACTGTACACGCAGACAATAAGTCTTTTCCATCTAACACTGAAGTTCTGAAGCAACGATTTATGGTGCTGCTGATACACAATGGGAATATACAGTATTCATTGTATATTTGGCTTATCTGTAGTAGTCTGCTTCATTAACTTTATACAAAACTTGATTTAACATTTAACATCACTTACTTCGTCAATCCCACCTTCTATACTCCTGGAATAAAGTAACTGTGCATTATTTGATGTTATGCCATTATTTCATGATGTTATTCCGTGGCATGACATACGCGCTGGTTAGGTTGAAATTAACCACAACATTCAGAGACTAGAGAATAATCAACCGTTCTTCAATTTTCAACATCAGGTATGTGAACGGTAGGTGTCAAAAAGCATGCAAAATGTAAGTTCATTGTGCACATGCACGCTTAAGTGTACGTGCCACGCGCGATACGTGACATCACATTTCATGCAATGTGCTCTATTCCATGTCTAGTTAAGAGAGCACATCACCAAGGCTAATTGGTCATTATATAAGACACTAAGTATTGCACACTTGAAGCATGACCTTTTCTGGAGCAGTGAAAATCCTATTCAGTCGTTTTTGGATATACTAAATATACAATCCCCAAGTCCTCTGCAACTCCATATATTCGGGAACCAGGGTTTGATGATGAGAGCAAACATGCCATGATATTGGATTGTTGGATTAATATATTACACCAAGAACCTAATTAAAAACTCCTGTATTTTCGAAATAATAGGTTTTCAACACGTACACAAAACTTCTCGTGGTGACCACGATGAGTTTTGACGCCAAAAAAACCGACAACATTATTGGAATCCATGTTCATTTAATGATAATAATTGCTCATTTAAAAAAACAACAACACTGATCTTCACACAAAACCACGTCTGTACAAGTATAGCCATTGAATGTTGAATTTATTGGTGAATGTGAACATTCAAAATGTCATTCTGCGTGTCTCACACAATTCAAGATGAATATAGAGAGTAACCTCCATGTGACTTATGAAAGGTAGTACTCTCCTCATTCTCCCTGTCCCTGATCCTCTGTAAACAAGCTTCCGATTGGTCCAGGTTCTGTCCAGTAAGGTGCCTTTGTTACACACGACGACCAATCATGTCCCAGATATGCTCCAAAGGGTTCAGATCGGGACTCATCCAATCGTGAGGGGGTGTTTAACTTATTTTATGCGTATATATCATATATATTATATTGGTTGCTGAAGGTCTTTGTAAATGTGCTCTTTAGTTTGTAATCTTTAGATCTGGATCAAAATACAGTCATCTGTAGGATTTTTCAGCTTGTTGCTTTATTCAAGCACAGATGATATTTTTACTGTTGACATAAGTTTGTTACTATTCTGCGTACAAATGATGACATTTTCGTTTTCGCACGTCAGTCAGCTATCGAAATGTGTTTTGTGCAAATCGTCATACCTGGTATCAATGGAGGGCAAACGTGGTAGATAGTAAAGATGAAAGTAGTGACTTAGTGGTAAAGAGTGTCAACGTTGCCCATGTCAGAGTTTCCCGACCTTATGTGATGTCGGCAACATGGGACAACTATAGATCATCAAAAATTAGGGAGAGCCCACTTATAGCATCTCATGAGCACTACATATGGGCTCTTCATGTTTGGACCCGTGGAGATCCGGGGTTAGAATTTATCTTTAGCAACCCATACTTGTTGGAAGAGACGACTAACGGGATTGTGTGGTCAGTCTCGATGAAAACATGGCATATGATGTTGAGGCACCTTTGAACAGCAACCTCCTCGTGGTGGGTGCTGGGTAACGCCAGTAGCTCTTCGCCACCGAGTGGACCCGGGGTCATATAGGTCCACAGCACCCCATTGCTCGTCGCAACATGCGACTAAATTTGGCAACACGTTTGCCGTGGGTTGCGTCCCTGTGTCGGCAGAGGAAGGGAGTCTGGTGGTTGAGTGTTCAATAATCCAACACACCACTTTGACCCTAACTTTGCCTAGACGGGTGGTATAATAGGCCCGATTCTACCAATCGGCTGGTCACGCCTTGCCCTGTGCATGGAATGTTTACCGAAAATTTGGTATTACAGAACACTTTTGGACATGTTCAAAATGTTAACTGATATTCTACCAAAACCAAATAGCCTTGCAGGCCCATGCACAGAAGGCGGTGGCTAATGGGCTAATCTTGTGATGCTGACCTCCGATGTCTGTACGTTTCCAATTGATTGTCATGGACCAAACCATCCTGACCTTTAATCTGGTAGACAGCTGCAGCTTTTCATGTCAAATTCGCTGGAGTATAACACCCCCTTATCCCCGGTCTTTGCAGCTTGGAGATCCGCTGCAATATAAGATCGTCCTTGTTGACACTCCATTGTGGGTGGGGAGAGGGGGTGCTGAACCACATTCCTTACGACATGGCTTTCCAACACCCCGGTTCAAAACGAAGACATATGGATTCTGACATTTCCTCGTCTGACGAGAGTACGCCCCTTCGACCTGATTACTGGCCACGTTTTTTTAATCATTGAAGCTTGTGACAAGCAACCTTTGAAATTGAACCCATTTGCAGTCTCCAAGGGTATCGCTGGTATCTGCGGAGAGGTTGCCAATGTCACAAAGGTCTGATCCGGCTCTCTACTTGTAGAATGTGCTCGGAGAATCTACTGAAAGTACAAGAGTTTGTCAATGTAAAGGTTGCTGTCTCAGCGCACAAAACACTGAATAGAGGCATTGTAGGGGACAGAGCTCGATGCCTGTCTGACATGACTGAGGAACAAATTGACGAGGACCTTTTTCAGCAGTCTGTCACAGCTGTGAAGAGATTCACTATCAAGAAGGATGGTTTGGTTCAACCGACAAACACCTACCTCTTTACGTTCGCCCGATCCAAGATTCCAGAATCAATTACAGCCGGTTAGTGCAGCATTGTTGTGGAGGTGTATGTATCTAATCCACTCCGGTGCTACAACTGCCAAAGGTTTGGACATGGATCCAAGTCCTGCCGTTCGTCTGCTGTTTGTTACCGCTGCGGTGACAAACATGAGAGCAATAAACATATGGCCTCTTCCAAATCTTCTCACGACTGGCAACACGAATCCGAGATCATAAAGACCAAACGCAAACAAAATGTCTCATTTCATGAAGCTAAGAAGAGGGTTACAAGTTTAACTGTATCCCCTTCAACCATCTCTTACTCTGCTGCTGTCTCCCGTCCTTTTACCACTACTGCAAGTATCGATTGACCCATTTCGACCGATCTGAAATGGGTCAATTTTCAGCCTATCTCAGCCACTTCATCTCCAAAACCAAACGTCTAAACATCAGAATCACAAACACCAGAACAAATGCCAAAGCCAGAAACAGAAAATGTGCCTCAAAAGAGAAAGGGAGAGAAACTAGAGAGACTAAAGCAGCTTGAGCAACTGCCAAACCCCAAACCAAAGGCCACCTCTCCTCTAGAGGTCCCCGTCGAGGTCCACAACTGCCTTGGAGTTCTTCAAACGCTTCCTCACGGTCACGTGACATGTCACCAGTGGAAGCACCATGAATCCACAAGGCATGATTCAATGGAATTGGAGAGGACTTCAGAATAATTTTAATGAACTACAGTTATTGATTCAAGATTTTAAACCATCTGCGTTTTGTCTCCAAGAAGCCTACCTAAAAAGGACTGATAAATTTGACATCCGTCGGTACAGTTCCTACCACTCCTTTTCTCCTCCTGGTGTTAAAGCTACAGCAGGCACTTCTATCCTGGTGAGGCAGGGCATCCTCCATAGCCCTGTTCCCCTTAACACCGCCCTACAAACTGTTGCTGTCCGCATCTGAACATAGGGTTTACAATATGTTCACTCTATCTTCCTCCCTCCTCAACTGTCTGTCTATCAGAACTTGTATGATCAACTCCCTAAGCCCTGCATAATCATGGGCGACTTAAACGTCCATAACCCCC